TTTTCTGGAAGTAAGGGATCTTGAGACTGTTGTGCACATGCTGGTAACATCATGTCTAGATTTCTGTAATGCATTCTACATGGGGCTACCATCGTGCTTGGTTTGGAAACTGCAATTAGTACAGAATATGGCAGCCAGAGTAATTTCTGGAACATCTAGGAACATATTACTCTGGTTCTAAAGTCCCTCCACTGGCTGCCTATTAGTTTCCAAACCCAGTACAAGGTGTTGGTTATTACCTTTAAAGCCCTAAATGGCTTGGGTCCAAACTATCTTCGGGACCGCCTTCTCCCCTATTATCCTATTGTTACCCGCCCCGATTGTTCTCAGAGGGGCAGGATATAAATTATTATTATTATTATTATTATTATTATTATTATTATTATTATTTTAGAGAATAGGAATGTGCAAATCAGTCAAACTCAAATGTGGTCAGGGTCCTAATTTTTCCACCATCAAACACATTATTTGTTTTTGCTTCAAACTACCAACCTTCCCCCCCCATATGGAAATTTGTACATATTTCTGTACACATTTATGAAAATGTATGCATTATTTGTGAACATTTCTATATTGCACTATTCTATTGTGAAAAGGTGGTTTTGGCATCCAGTTTTTGAAGCAGTTGCAAGTTTGTGAGCACATTTAAAATGTATTTTTGTACACACATCCTCCTGAAATGAAACAGAAATTTCAGAAAGGCATGGATTCTGTTTTGAAAAGTACAAATTAGGTATTTACACATGAAAATGTGAGCCCAATTAATCTTTTTTGCATCCAGAGCTTAGAAAGTTGCTTTAAAAAGTAATTAATAGCAATAATAATTAGCAGCAGATACAGTTATACAGTCCAAAATAATTACAATTGTGTTTTGTAAGTATCTCTGCATTTTCATTACCCAAAAATAAAGAAATTGTTACATTTGGTTAGTTTTAAAAAATGTCAGAATGCTACAAGCAACTGATCTAAGGTCTGAACCACATCTGAACAATGAGGTTGCATGCCGTTGTAACAATGGCTGCATCAGCACTGCAGTAATAACCCTATGGAATTCTGGGAAGTGTAGTTTTTTGTGTACTGTTGATTCCTGGATGAGATTCCTTTGACTGAATATTTTTATTCCTTAATGAGAAATATTGCCTTTACACTTTGAGTCATACTGTCAATAAAAACACCAATTAGTGTAAGGTTTTACACTTCTGCATAAGAACAAAAAGATGAGTGGTAGGTCTTTTGGTCAATGAGAAATAGCATATTTTTTCTTGCTTTTTTGGGGGGGCATATTCCCCCCCCCCACAAAAAAAGGGATGAGATCATGCAATGAAGATTATAATTTGAATTTCTATGATGTCATAGTTACATCTCTGGCAGGACATGCAACATTTCTAATGAATTGCAGCAAAGCATGTCAGGACATTCTACATGGTGTTCTGTTGTGTAATGGAATTTTTATTATGCAACAAGTCCCCAGAGTTCTGCTGCCCATTGTACAATGGATTCCATAGCACTCTGTTATCCATTGTACAATGGGACCCATGGCCATACTGTCAACCCCATTTCCACAATATTCCCAAACACATAGCTACATCTCTACTCCCTTCCAAAGAATGCAAACGTTGCACCATACCTAACAGGATGCCAGCAGTGTATTTTGTGCAAAATAGTGCATTTCTTCTGTGAAACAATTATTTTGCTCAACAATATTCACCAGTTGTTTTACAGAAAAGCCTTGAAATGTAAAAATAATTGAAAAAGATGTAAAAATTTTCATACTTTTACCCAGTGGGGAGAAAATGTTTCAAACTGTAATTTCCAAGAATAAAATACATGAAGCTTTACTTCCTACATCTGACTATTAAACTAGCTAGTTACACTTAAACTACAAATGGAATTGTAGTATTGCATTTGTAATGTAACTATGCATTAATTATTGCAATGAAGAATGCATTATGAGTAAATCATTACTTGTCACTTATTCACTTTCAAATTTTGTGCCCATCAAGGTTGGAAGAATTGTCATCTATTCAAGGAGATTGTCCTGGGTTTACACATTCAATGCTTGAATGTCTCTTTATATAGTGCAATTCAGAAAACAAGGGTACTTTGATAATAGTTATATGACGATAACTTCAGAACTAACTCCCCTCCCATATCACAACATGGAAACTTTTTTTTCTGCTTGAAAAAAATTAAGTATACTTAGTTTTTGCCAAAAGGGTTGCCCTACACTATTGCTTATTGAGCACAAGTGTATTTAAACAACTGTAGTCATTTGCATCACAAACCACATTTTTGAAATCACATATTTCAAATGCAGCTGTGTTTATTCCATTGATTGCACATTTAAATAAACACCAGCTGTTTATTTGTGTGTGATCCCGTACACATATGTGAACACTCAGATAAATTTTCTCAATATGTCTATTTAAATATCATGTCAGACATTGGGGAAAAATTAACATGTAGTCAATGCAGTTCTGTTGGCTTATTCCCCCCCCCCCCATATACTCACTTCAGATAATCCCCAGTGGTTAAGCATTTTTTAAAAATGTATACCTATGTGTTAAGTGTTTATGGGGAAACCTAGGCTAGTTGCTGACATATGCTGCTGTAAGCAGGTGTTAGTCCAGTTAGTGTAGTCTAAGTTAGTTTCTTGGATATTGCAAAAGAAGGTATCCAGGACCCCTTTGAACAATGTTTTATCTTCAGTTGTACAATGGCTGCTGTACAGTGCCATAATGCAGTTCCTTCCAGTTTGGAAAAACACTGAATGGTAGGGGTGTGCTATAAGAAATCCCTCATGCCCTCATCTAGCTGCCAGTCAGCAACCTACCACAGCTCCTACATAAGTACCCGTTCAACTAGATTGTGCCCATAATGTTGGATTTGCTTGTTGGTGGTTTCTAAGAGCTGCATACACACACAGACACCCCAAGCCCCTAACATTTCACTCACCATGCTGTTTGGGGGATTTTAGGAGCTGTAGCCAAAAGAGTAACTTGTCCAAGCTCTGCCTCCTCATAAGTAATACTGTGTTTAAAAAATATACAAGAGCTGTTCTCTACCTCCTCCCTTCCAAGCGGACTACTTCAAATGTGTTGGGGGAAGTGTTTTCATAGACCACTGAATATAGTTGGCTCTTGGTATCCACTGGGGTTTGGTTCCAAGACCCTCACTTAGATTCTAAAAGTCCCATTATACACAATGTCACAGTAAAATGGTTTGCTTTATATAAAATGGAAGACACCATTTCATTACACCATTGGCAGAGCCAGTGTGGTTTAGTGGTTTGAGTGTTGGACTATGTTTCTGGAGACTAGGGTTCAAATTCCAGCTCAGCCAAGAAAACTTGCTGGATAACCTTGGGCAAATTACACTCTCTCAGTCTCAAGGGAGGGCAATGGCAAGCCCCATCTGGACAAATCTTGTTGAGAAAATGTTGTGATAAGTTCACCGTAGGTGAATCTTTCCATGGAAATGAATGGAAGGCACAGAACAGAACAATACAAAATTGTTTTTTGGGGTTTTTTTTGTTTTGTTTTGTTTTTTTTTTTGAGGGGAAGGGAATATTTTCAAACCATGGATCGTTGAATCCATGTATGCAGAATCTGTGGATATGGAGGGAAGACTGTATTTTTCCCCCTACAGGTTGAAGCATGTTCATAACTTGTACCATTGTAGCCATAGCTATTAACTCTCCATAAGAGCAGAAATGTTCCTCTTGACAGCAGAAAAGCAGAATGTGGACTGCCCACATTTCTGCCTAAACTACAACCTCCTCAAATGAGTCTAGAGTTGCACCAAAGGGTAGTGATCTTTTTTTATTATCAAATTTTTATACATACACAATATACATACATAACATAACAAATAACATTTAACTAGTAAAACAAATACAAATGCTACATACACAACGTAACAGACATGCTTTGCTGCATTTTTTTTAAGGGTAGTGATCTTTTAACTGGCATGATCCAGTAGCTGGAAGGTGAGCTCTTGTCTTGATTCCCAAGGCTACAACTTGCTCCTTTTGGTCTCAGCTGCAGGATTGCTGCCCAAGGTCCTGAACCTCTTGCTCTTCCACCCTGACAAGTCACCTTTGGTCCTGTCCAGGGTCCTGATTTTAATGCCGCATGAGGATGGTTTAGATCAGTGGTTCCCAAATTTTGATCATCCAGGTGATTTGGATTTCAGCTCCCAGAAGCCCCAGCCAGCTTGGCCAACATTCAAGAATTCTGAAAGCCCAAAACATCTGGAGGACCAAAGTTTGTGAATCACTGGTTTAGATTGCTGTTTTTCACCATCCCATCTAGACTGTCATCTCCTCTTAGCAATAGAGAACATTTGTAGGTTAGGACACTGCTATAGCTTTCTCGTTGCATAAAATGTGTCTCAGAGGAAGATCCCTCTGTTGTAGCAGTCTATCACTTTTCATCAAAACACGTTGTATAATTTTTATCATTATGGGTGGAAAGGGGTCACTTCAGCTTCTTGCTGTGACATAGCTTATTTGATAGCTCGGTATCATCTGGACACCACAGTGTTTCTTCCACTAAAACTAATAAGTGCAAACTACACCAACTAATGCTTGATCAAAGTAACAGAGAATAATTCTTACTTTATTTAGAGCCACATGCCAGAGGTTGCTAACATCCATTCATATGCAGCATTCTTTTAACAGATTAACCATTAGTATTTGGGTGGCTTCAATAAAGGCCATTCAGTAAACATAGAAAGCAAAAATCAGTTATTCTTAATGTGTGATCTTCAGGAATGTTTATTAAACAATAATATCCAACTGTATGACAGTTTTATTTCTGAGAATGTTGGAGCTTTATTATATAGCAGCTGAGTAATACCACATTGCTGAAAACCCAGATTCAGTGTAATGAGTGTTTACAGAAAGCAGATGCTGCTAAATTTAATAGCAAGAGCATTCATACCACTATATAGGCAGACTTGCAAGGTAATGTAAAGCACAGTAAAAGCTGTTTTAGAGAGAGATTAAATTATGGGAGCAAAGGAGGAAACACACAATTAAGATGGGAAAAGAGTACTGGTAAATACTTAAGAAAACTTTTTCAATGGATTCTGTGTATTCTCCAGAGGTCCATCAGAAACTCCAGGGCTTAAACCAGGAATATTGTGGTCTCTGTGGCTGAGACCTAACCTAGTGATTTAACATCAAGCATGGGGTTTCTAGATCAGGAGTGAAAAGCCTTGGAGTTCCAGTGACAATTTTTTTTTTAAGCTTGGGTATTGAAGAGCCAGCCTCTGGGTTTATGCAGGGCACAGAATAATCCATGGTCAGACAACATGCTAAGCAATCAATTTCTTGTTTGTTTCTAACATCTAATGCTAACTAACAGTGGGGGTACATCAATTTGGTATGAGGATTTTTCCTGGTAATCTGTTCTGTGAGAACATGTCCAATGTTCTACATCCCTCCATCTTTCCTAGAATTATCACTTTTTCCCCAAAAAGTCATGCCTTCTCATGATGTGACCAAAGTATGACAGTCTCAGTCTAGTAACCCTGACTTCCAGGGAAATTTCTGATTTGATCTGTTTTGATCTACCTATTTGTCTTTTTGTCCATGGAATCCTTAGCAGTCTTAGCCATACCTGTAGCATTTACCAGTAAGGTCAGAGATGGAGTGAGGCATAATTTTGCTTCTAATGCCTCCCATTTCATTCCCCTTCCGCCACTAACTTACTTACAGCAATTAAATGGAAGCCAGGATTATTTAATTTGTACAAAAGGTTCTCTAGAATGTCAGCCCCTGATTCTACACAATATTGCAGCACTCAGCAAGCATAACATTATTGGCAGACCTTGGGAATGTTTGTCCCAGAATCCTAGACCCAGAATCTAGGTGTTACAGTAAACGGAAGAAAAAGTAGCTTTGCCCAGGTCATTTTATTGTGGGCAAAGCTTTTGAAATTTCTGCTGCTCTAGAGAACAGAACAAGAACCAATGGATTCAAATGTCAAGAAAAGAGATTCCACCTAAATATTGGAAAGATTTTTTTTGTACTGCAAGAGCTATTCCAAATTGTATTAGATTGCCTCAGAAGGTGGGGGACCCTCCATCTGAAAGGTCTTTAAAAAGAACTTGGATTCACATCTTTCAAGGGTGCTTTAATTGTGTATCTCTGAATGGCAGGGGGTTAGACTAGATGGCCCTTGTGGTACTGTCCAACTCTATGATTCTAATAACTTGTTGTCTATAGCAGTTTTAGTCCTTCCAGTGAACTAAAGGAATCAGCTCCTCATCATTCATATGTGTCCTCCACCACCCCTACCCCCTGCCTTTTTTAAAAGATTAGTAGGATGTGTACATGGGCAATTAAATTTGTTTCAAATTCTTTTTGACCCCAGACAAAACAATTCATCAGTCTGGTCTCTGCAGAATTGGAGAGATAAAAGATGAAAGAAGACTGTCAGATTAGTCCCATGTTGTATGTTACCCTTCAGCTTTTTTCCTCAGTTCCTAAATCAAGGAACATCTGGCCCTTGTTGTATGGTGGTGTCACCATTCACAATGAAACATGCTCACTGGTGCTGAAGTATTTCAACCTGATTTGAAAAGGAATGACAGCAGGCTATAAAGATTTTGCATACCTGGCAGCAGTGGGTAAGAAAACTCAGAGTATGATAACATCAAGTCATTCATTTTCTTTGCTCCTGTTTTATAGGCAGTTGTAGATTTCCCAAAGGAGCTTTGGCAGCTTGGTCTGCCAAATCTCACTGCAATCAAATCCATGTTTGCTGAATCTGGTTGTGAGATGTGAATATGATACCATCTCTGATCAAAATTGGCTGTATGCTTGAGGGAGATCTCAGGAGCCAAACACTCTCTGGCGAGCACCTCCGTTTCTGGACCCTTTCTGATGGCAACTACACCATATAGTCCAAGGTGATTGCATCTGGGAAGTCACCATTTAAATTTTCCACAGTGAACCAGAGGCATTGTTAAATCTAGCCCTTTTCTCAAATGAGTGAGCCTCTAGACACCAGCACCTATTCAAGCTATTAATTTTGCTGCTGTTTTCAAGTTGCCATAAGTTAAATCTCGTTTATGGCCACTCCACTTTAAGATTTTCATGGCAAGGTTTATTTAAAGAAGGGTTTCCATTGCCTTACTTTTGAGAGAGCATGACTCACCCAAAGGATTTCCATATCTGAGTGGTGATTCAGATCTTGACTTCCTAGAGTTTTACTCCATCACTCGAACCACTACACCATACTGGTCCTCCAGGTTACTGCTAGTGAGCCTCAAATTGCCATGGTTAGGATGGTGAAAACCTTTCACTTTTGTTTCATTTCTTCAAATCCCATATTCATTTTTTTCCAGCTATTGCCACTGGAGAAGAAAGCCCAGCTTTGTTAGTGTACTGTTTTCTTTCTCTAATCTTAGATTTT